AAGCCCAGAACGGGCCGTTCCAAAACTGGAACGGGCCGTTCCAACATTCCAAAAAGCCCTAAAATTTCTAGACCAAAACGGCCGTTCCAAAACTGAAACGGGCCGTTCCAACCATCCAAAAAGACTTATAAATTCTAGCCCAGAACGGGCTGCTCCCAGAAACTGGAAAGGCCCGTTCCCAAACTGGAACAGACCATTCCAACCTTAAAAAAGGACCTGTAATTTTTAGCCCAGAATGGGCCGTTCTCGAACTACCAAAATACCTAAAAAATTTAGTCTAGAACGGGCCGTTCCGAAATTGGAACAGCCCGTTCCGAAAATGGCCGTTGTGAGTAAAATTGCAACGCCGGAACGGGCCGTTCTGGATTCAGAACGGGCCGTTCCGGTCCCTCCAGAAAGTCTATAAATAGCGGGCCTTCCCCTTCCCAAAGACACCTACACACACCCTTCCCACACACATCTCCACCTTGGACCAGAGGGAACCCAGAGAAGGAGACCCACTTCTGTAGCGAAGAATTATGAGTATATTAAATTCATTTCTTTTTATTTATTTTTTTTATATTAGTAATATCTGCTATTAGTTCTTATTTATATTCAAAATGTGATTAAATATCAAAATATAGTGTTACAATATTTAATGTAAATATCTGAAATTATTGTATCAAAAATTTTATTGGAGGAATGGTTAATTAGATGTGACATCTTTTTAACCTTTGAATTTAAAACGAATTCACCTGGAATTCTTGAAGCAAATCTTAATCTTCCCCTTTCAAGATATGATGATGATGATCTTCTCACAAAGTTTTTAACAAACGTTTTTACTCTTGGATTTCACAAAGAAAACTCTCCAAGATGTCACAGAGACTCCACAAAAACGTTTTTCACAAATTGATTATCAGTTCTAACTCTTGTCTGAAGTTTCTCAAAGTTCAAACTATTTATAAAAGTTTCAGACGCAGATAATCGATTATTTTAAAGAATAATCGATTATTTTGTTCTTCAGATTTTCTGGAAATCAACCAAGAACAATATAATCGATTATTTTGCT